ATTCATGGTGACGTCGGCACAGTGTGGCGCTCTCATTAGCTTGACGCAGGCTAAATATCGACTAATCGCTGAACCGAACAGTTCTCCCATCACTGGAAGGCCATACTCGACAGGCCATCAGTGACATTGGAGTTGATGACGTTGTTACTTCATACCAACACCTCTGACAGGTCGCCTCCTCAAAGACTGCCTCACTATACTTGGTCAGATCTACTTCGCAATCCTAGAATGGCTGCCGCTGAAGAGGTTGCGGTTGTATACGTGAGGTGTCCGTCGTAACACGGTTTCGGACAGACCTGGATGGTCATGTGACGTAGATGTTTTTGGTACCGGTACAGTACAGAGAGATGGCGCCATGGCAACAACCGATTGTATCTACTGCTTCCAGTCATCAAAAAACCTTGTTCTGTTGTAGTTCAGTTAGTGTGGTAACACATTACAACACATCGTTTACAAATCCCGGTCATACATGTAAGTCCGTGTCACCTATGCATTTCTTGTTTTGAGGAGTACATATTCCGTTTTGCGATATGATGATTATGAAATGGTTGGCACCAAACTGCTCTCTAAAGGTTTCCTAAACCCTGTAAACATCTCCAATATATAAACAGCCAATATATTTCGTTCAAACCACTAAGGTTTTGTTGTTTGTATATTTGTTGAAGATGTTTACGGTATCAAATTTCCCCAAATTCTGATTAAATATGTTGTATGAATGATTATGGTCATTAGTTGAGAGTGTGATAATTCTCTTGAAAAGACTACATGTTCCTGATATTGACTTTGACATTTTTTCTTTTCTTCTTGCTCAAGTCCAGTTCAACAATTTTAATGATATTGATTTTTGTAAACTAGTTTCTTAACTTTTAAGCGTCCTAAAATCAACCAAACCGATAATCTGCATTGTTTCCAAAACGCAGACAAATGTTTAGAATTCACTTTTGTGAACAACTTTCAAGAAACTATCCAACAAGTCGAGTGAAATCATAAGATGAATAAGGACAACAATTGATGACATTTGATGGGCCATGATGTTAATGGAGTCGAGAGATAGGGCTCACTAACGTGTGTAATTTGATTTATCTTAAATTATCAATGTCACTATAACATATATATTTGGGCAAGATTTAGTGAAAAGTCAGTGATAGTGTTGTACATGTGATATAACATTTCTAAGGTTCTGATACAACAGACCCAAATACTTTCCACTCTGATTCCTTTCTGGAAATGCATTGTTGAAATTTTATCTTACCTTCATGTGAAATACTTTAATTTCATTGGTCAATGATGCTTTAACAAGTTTCCGTGTCACCCCTCCCAGGAGGGTGACAACTGGAAAAAATATTACCCGCTGCCACGGTAACCGCCAAACTCTCCGCCGAGAAGCTGTATAGCTAACAATCGTATGACGTCATAATATAACGCATGCAGTGTTCGATTAGCTGTTTTTGAGTTCACTTTGTACATATTTATTTTACCGACTTTCACTGCTTTATTTAAACTATTTTATACATTGAATCGTTTGCACACTCAACTTAAACATAATTAACCATTTTTATAGCAGTGTTAACCTTGTCAGAATATGTTTCACTGATGTAAAAAATCCAGTCAAGGGGCAGACGCCATTTTGTTAACATGTCATATAGTCGGTAGCGATCTTTAAAATAAAATAAAAATGATATTTTGTACATTTAACATGGCGGTACAATAAATACGTTGTATGCTTCTCCCTCGGGTAATACGGTCTGATGTACGCCTCTGACACTGCTATGACACTGCTACAAAGAGGCGTACATCAGACCGTATTACTCTCGAGAGAAGCATACAACTTATATTATCTATTCATTCATCCTTTATGAGAGACAAAAGTAATGAGTGTTTATTCTGAAACCAAACATATGTCCTTGTTAACATTTTCATCTGTTGACAATTAATCCAGGTGAATTACAGTACATTCACACCATGCTCACCGAGCCTCCATCTCACCTTCAGTCTTTTGGATCCGTTTCAAGCGAGAGTGGAATTCTATCACATCTGTCTACTTCAGGAACTGTAAGCAACAACAGGACAAACCCACTTAAATTGTCAGTCATTTCAAGACATGTTGTATTATGTATTTGCTACAGTAACTCGCGAGCATCTACTGGAAAAAAGGCACAGGGTACATTCAAGGTGACCTAAATCTTAAATCACCAAGTAAGGAGAGTGAAGGCCATTTTGTTTAATAAACAATGATGTAAATTACGAAAGATAACGGTGACACTTTGGTAGCATAATCATTCCTTCTAACAAAGGTTGTGGTTATCAATTAATTGTCTATTTTGTTACTTCGGTAATTATATATTTTTTAGAAATTTCGAGTTTTTCATCAGAGTAACGAGAAAAAACGTGAAGCAAATAAAATAATCGAAGCATTGTGAAAATAGTTGATGCAATGAGAAATCAAGTTTTTGAATAAACTTTAAATAACGACAATACATAAATGTAATAGGACTGACTAGAAAATAAAATAATAAAATGATTGGTAATGAAAATAATCTATGCTACAAAACTGGGGCCTTGATGATTTCGTAATTAGTCTGCAAAATACAAAAACTGTATGTGTAAAAAACTAATTTGGCCTAAAACATTTTTGTATTGGTTCTATCAATTCTAAAAATAAGGCCAATGGGCAATAATGTTAATAAGCATCTTCTTCCGTATAATAATCACCTAAAACACAGTTCATAATTTTGATTTAACAAAGCGTCCAACTCGACAAAAAATGTTTGGCCTCAGTAAACAATCTCGACTACAATTCGTCGATCCTCATCAATGACAGTATTTATATCATGAGACATGAAGAGTAGCGACACTATGCCTTACTTATTAATAATTATTATTTCAAGAGTCCATTTCATGCAGGTTTATGGTTTGTATTCTTTGGACAAGGTTACTGACTCCGCTTGTTCCTGTATGATATGACTGAAACATCTGTTGACTCACGTATTTAGCATAATTTACTGGAATAAAGAAACAGAAGATGACCAGTGCCGAGGACCTGAATAAACAAGGTCCACTTTTTACAGGATGGGGACATTTGTTAAGTGATCGATCTAGCCTCAAAGAATTTAGCGCATGAAAACTTTCTTGTAGTGACACTTGTGGGCGATATCGTGTATATCCACCACGGGCATCAATGCAAGCACCAACTCGATGATGGGCAGAAGATGTGAGAGCTCTGATCACAAGAAATGGGATTCTACGCCATTCTTCTCGGAGGGCCTGCGCTAACTGATCCTTGTTATGGGGGCGATCTGGTCGTGCTCTAATTTAACGGTAAAGGTGATCCCATAAGTGTTCTCTGGGTGATTAGTCTGGTGATTGGGCTGGCCGATGGAAGACGCTGAATGGGGCTTTATGTTATTTTGCTGAAACAGGTTCCGTTCCTTTTTATCGTTCGCAGTGGACACAAGCTCTTTATTCTGCTATGAAAAGGTGGAATTTGCTATCTCTTGTCCACATGACTCTTGGCACTTCTTGTATCCAAGCGTTGCTGTGTATAAGCCCATGAATGGGGGCGTCAGTGTTACATTTTGTAGTGGTCTATAAAGCTCTGATGCTGCCTTCTGAACGTTAACATTATAATTACTGGTCTACAAATCACTGATGAACTTTGTGTTGAACTCCGTATATAGGCACTGCTGTAAGGTATAACCACGTAAAACATACATAGTCCATAGTTACATTTAACGTACCATTATATTTTAACACCTGAGTCAGATCTAATTCAATATCCCCGGGTTACCATGCTCTAAATGATGTAAGTATATAACCAACACACACACACACACGCACACGCACACGCACACGCACACGCACACTATGCACATATATATATATATATATATATATATATATATATATATATATATATATATCATACTGGCGTCAAGGCATAAAAAACTGTAACACTCGGAACAGGTTTCATTGGTTAAACTCACCCTTAACTCTAATAGTGGAATGTACGGATGTCTAAAGATTTCATCCTCAAATATGACACGAAACATTAGTTACTGCGCATATCGGTGTTACAAATGGCGTGTCATTGCTTACATTTCGCCGAACTAACGACGTTCCGTTTCTTGTGTTCGTCATTTATGCGTCATCCACAGTCTTAGTAATTGAAAAGTACAGTCCTCCAGCTGTTGTGAGCACGAACAAGACCAGTTTCTGGCAACTTGAAGAAAACTGCATACTGGGCATTTGCTACACGTTAGTTTGTACGAAATGGTCGTGAATTATATAAAGAACATTATATATTATTGTCATTGCCATATGAACTTGGACAACGAATCGTCTCATCCGATTCATTCAAAAAGAATCTGAGTTCATGTAATACGGGTCACACTGTATACAAGGCACGTGGGCCAGATAGAATAAGGCAAATATCTTTACGATTAGTTGGCAGACCACTTTGTCAATTGTTTGATAAAGCACTTCCACTCGATTATATCCCTCAATGTTCAAAGACATGCCATGCCATTTTACAAGAAAGGTAACGAAATGTCCAATGTCTAACTGTTGTCCAGTAATTTGAAAGAGTAGTTTTAGTTATCTACAGGTTTAGTTATCTACAGGTTTAGTTATCTACAGGTTTAGTTATCTATGGTGTTGTTTAAACACCAGTCACTATTCCAACATGGACGTCTGTTCAGCAACTGTTTCTATCCATCGGTTTATACATGTAATGTAATTGACATAAAAGTACAAACTTAAGTATCCCAATTCCATGTTACTGTTTTGATAGCTCAATAAATACTCTTGTATACGGACGGACACATTAGACAAAAATTCTGTCATCAAGTTGGACTTTAAGTAACTGTCAGATGATTTGTTCTTTCAAATTTGTGGGGACCAGGGGATTTGTCTTCTTCTCAGTCAGTTTTTCTATGCCTTGAATAAAAGAGAGTGTTATGGTATAATATTAGGATGTGTTAATGTGTTGTGCAAACCTAAAGGGTATGGTATATAATGTGACCTGCTAAACTGGCGAGAAAAGTATAGACAACAAAAGGCATTTATGAACTGGGTATTGTCACGGCATCTACATATGGAGATCGTTAAGATTCGGTCCTTTAGACTTACAGAATTATCACATGATTTAACAATACTAACATTGACTAATACATTCATGTGTATATGTAGGATTTACACGGTACTCACACAACACAATGTTACAGTGGTATCTGCATAGATCGCAGATTACAATATATGACGTAGATGGAAAATGTGTAACATAATCTACGGTTACGGTACATATTCTTAGAATCATTCAGCTTTCTCTTTACTTGTCCGGTTTTACATTATATATGTTCCACGAACCACGCTTGAGACAATCAGTGACTGACGTTATGCGTTACTTTGGGGGCAGCAGACAAACACACGCGATGGTCGTTTGTTGTTTAACGCCACACTCGGCAACATAATCGAGTCTTGACCAAACTTTTTGTATCCAGTAATTGACATCATGCGTATCGATCTGCGCAATTGGGATACGATGACATGTGTCAACCAGGTCAGCAAGCATGGCCTGACGATCCCGTTAGTCGCCTCTTGTGACAAGCATGGGTTACTGAACACCAACTGTAACCCGAACTTCACGGCTACCGTGAGTATCAGTACTGGGTTATACAAATAGTGTCACGGCTACCGTGAGTAACAGTACTGGGTTATACAAATAGTGTCACGGCACCGTAGAGGGATGCCAAAAGATACTCACCCTATCAAAAGTTGTTCTCGGTGTTGATATTCAAATAATTTCTGCATAAATATTGGAGGGCTAAAAATTATCACTCAAATATAATTTGCACAAAGTATGGTGTCATTCCAGACTCTGAGATAGCAACGAACACTGTCGTGGTGGCCACATTGACGATTGGCTTAAAACCTTCTGAACAATTTTGTGGGATCATCACTAATTGGAACAAGTGTGTGAAGTATCAGCTTCTTTGGTCTAGTGGTTTCAGAGAAGATGTGCGCTACGAACGACAGACAAACAGCCCTGGATATACACTGACTTCACGTTTAGTCTGATGAGCTACCATGACGGAATCGGGCGTCCTTACCGATTCCTGGCCTGTGTTCACATAGCATACGCAGATGCAGTGAAGGCCCATTATCTGAACCCAACATTGATTTATGCCATCACTTCCAAGAAAGGTGGAAATGTGCGTACTTCAAAGCATCAATAAATTCTATTTTCAGATCTTCTTGGTCAGGTTGAATTATGCAAGGTTCTTTTTGTGTGTTTTTTTCAAGAAAGCTGTCACTACAAACTATTCATTGATTAATACTTGTGCTTGTGTTCTCTAATTGTCAAACAGTCGTCATTAAATAACATTCCATTGATTGTTCAGTGTGTCGTACTTTCGTCTTGGGTTACGGTTTTGACGGAACAAAATACTCATGTGTATTCTATATCTATTTCGCGATGCACATATGTATTGATATATTAGACTGTCTGCAAGGGTTGTACTGTGAATATACCGGTAAGTGAGCGGTCAGTAGCTCGCCGTATTTAATTTAAATATCTATCTTCATTTAATATTAATTACCTTTTTGTGTCATGATATAGTAGTCTCACATGACGAAACCAGGAATCGACGTGACTCTGTGTTTCCCACTCTCCTCTCCTCTCTCTCTCTCTCTCTCTCTCTCTCTCTCTCGCTCTCTCTCCCTCTCACTCTCTCACTCACTCGGTGTATCTAAAGGAGTTTATGCTGACAATTGTCCTGCTGAAAGTGTTTAAGTCAACCTTCTGCCACAAAATAGGACAAAGTGGTGCATTCTTTCTTTATGCATTCAGTTTTAAATCCCAGCTGAATTGTTGATAATCTCAGCAGAGCACAATGGAAGTAAACAGTGAAAATGATGACAAGCGACACCAGAGCAGCATGCTAACCCCAGACACACGAACACGACTGTGGCCATTTCACGGCATCCCCAAACATGACAAAGTTGTTTTATGTGGGCGATATTGTCTCATGAATTGTTTGCCTCTGGCCACATAAATGAATAATTCTCGATACATAACATGATGATACTTTCTCGTTGTTTCACCCCGAAGTTCACATCAAGTCGCTTCCCCACATTTTTAAAATTATGTTATTGCATGCCAAATGCTGATGCATGGGATGGATGTGGCAGATTTCCTCTATATACAAAATATACTGAAAATAAATAAATTTTGGTTACGTGTTTTATTTACTCCTCCATAGAGACATCAGTGTTATCGAATGCTGTATGATACCTGTGACAGGAAACACTGAAACTGAAACTTCCACATCCGATATCCGCTGTTTAGTTACTTAGTCGGGCATGTCTGGATACCCCTGTGAGTTGTTAATGGCGACACATCTATTTATGGCTTTCACACTGAGATGCCACACCGCAGTTGTGCATGGATGCCACATTCAGGCACTATTGTTTCACCGTTTTAATGCAAAGCGCTAGACAGGGTAGCAATAAATACCATCGCTTAACACATTTCTGTATGATCAGGCCATGGTGTCGAAGCACAGACCTTACACTTCTATTCCAGATCGGAAATAGTCCTAGGGAATGATTTATGTGCGAGGATAAAATGCCCTTTGTTGCTACCATTTCTATAGTCTTTTGGGTGCAGTGGTTATATGATTTGAATATTTATGTGTGAGGTGAGGTAGAATTGGGTTTAACGTCGTGCTTGAGAATAATTCGCTCATATGACGACGTGCATGCGTGTGTATGTGTATGTACGGCTGCTTGTACTAGCCCAGACTTAAGCTGGTTTTATAGTGCTAGCCCATTGAGATACCATGCCGCAGTGAAACATGAATACCCCACTCAGACACATTATACTGACAGATTATACTGACTCCGACCCGACCAGTTCTTGTTGTACCCATTAACACCGAGCGCCAGGCAGGGACCAACAAGTACCACATTTTAACGTATTTTGGTCTGACGCGGTCGGGGATCGAACCCGCGACCTTCCGCTCTCCGGGGGGACGCTCTAACCACTACACCACGGAGGCGGTATATTTCTGTGTGACAAGTGATGATTGTGTTATAGTATGGGTGGTAGATCAATGTGACCTACATTCGATATTACGTTAATAACCCACTAGTTGTAGACATAGGTGCACCTGCAGTTGAAGGTCAATCACACAGCTACTTATTCTTTGTCATTCTCTAATGGAAGGCGAGTAAATACGGGAACTATAAACTTTATACACAACAACTTTTTGTTCATTGCATTTAGTGACACTTCCATCCAGATTCGTGCTCCGCTATCAAGCCGACTAAAACCAGGTGATGAGAGGTGCGTGCTATGTTGTGACAAGCAGCAGCAGCTTAACATTAACAACAACAGGTAATGGATAACAGTAGCACGTAATTGGATGAAGAGATGCAGCGTAAGAGCAACAAATTGTGCACAAGTAATGAAGCCACATATATATTAAACAAGTTCATTGGATACTAATTACAATAGTCCAACAATCTGATTAGATAGAGTCTATCGCTTGATTAGCCTTCCACTGGCACACGGTGTGTAATACCATTGATCTCTGTTCATCAAAGGTTTTTGACGGCGGAATTCTGAGGCTTCCAAGAGTTTTCTGTTTTTGTGATGTCCTTGTGTTTTGTGGAGAGGATTTAGACTTTGTCAGACTGTATTTTATGGCTGAGGAACTTTTGCTGGTGGTCAGGGAGAGCTGATTTTGGGGCTAGGGCCAGGGCCAGGGCTAGGGCTAGGCTAGGGCTAGGGCTAGGAGGCTAGGGCTAGGAGCTAGGGCTAGGACTAGGACTAGGGTTAGGGTTTAGGGGTTAGGGTTGGGGTTGGGGACCTAATGCAATATATAGTAGGTACATGTCCGGTGGTTCGGTCAATGCATTCTATTTATTAGGATTATTTCAAGGGTTAGGGTTAGGGTTAGGGCTGAGGGTTTAGGGTTTAGGGTTAGGGTTAGGGTTAGGGTTAGGGTTAGGGACCTAATCCAATATAGCAGGTACATGACCGGTGTAATACGTGTGAGTACCATTTGTTGTTTTTCCTTTTTGCATTTTTTAATACTTTTTTCACACAAAAACGGGAAACCAAAAACGTCGAAAGTACATTATGAAATGGGTTAATGTAGAAATTTTGGGCTAATGGAAATTGGTCTGGAATTTGCACTCAAGCCTCTTTCACACGCAACATAAATTTTGTAATGTCCAATGATTCGAAGGCTAACTCACCCGAGTGCCGTCACTACACATGCTCATGTCTCCCTCGTTCCTTATTTCGATCCACATTATCCTTACAGTGTTCCCTACATCACTTTTCTGTCACAAAATCACCGATTTATATAAAAGCGCGTCATTCATGCATGCACCGTGAAATCTACGTCTGACGCCTGACGTCAACAACCCTTTTTTCAGTTTGAGGCATATCGGCTCATTCCACGCCACACGTTAATTTGTAGACTACGGAATGGGACGAGTGGGCATCGGATCCATTCGGCAATTGTCCGGAGAATAAAATCACGAGACACCAAGTCTACCCGTAGCATTCGTAATTGTCCGTGACCTATTCGACTCTTTCCGTTCATTTCCGTGACGTCACAGGAATGACTCGATAAATTTGCACATTGTGCAACAGTGTGGACGTAGCTCAGTCGGTTAGCTGTCGAGCTAACAATCCGAAAGGTCGCGGGTTCGCGTCCGACGGAGTTCTCACAACTGACTGCATTGGCAGTTGAATGTTTATGCTCTTTAATGCCAGTATCTAACGGGCGGGGGGTTTCACTGATGTAAGCAGTCACAGTTACAAGTTGTTATCTTGTTATCCATAAAGTTGTATGTTTCCCATACCACTGAGCTATACTCAAGAATGAATGTTCACTGTGTTAGAATGATATCAGGCACATATCATCCATTTTAAGATATGTTCCTGCCAAGAAAGGGCATCCGCAGACACGTTGTTGGACAGTCTCTGGAAATTCGTTACACAGTCGACATTTCATATGCATGTTAATATTTTCTTTAAGAATCACATTTAGGCGATTGCTAGTGGGAAGTGACTGGTCCTGAGCAGCAAAAAGGAAGTCCTCAGTTGCACATTTAAGACCAGCCGACTTCATCCAGGTGAAGGAGTCCGTTTGACAGCTATTCTGTTCCACACACTGCATGTACGTACACACGATGCAATGCTTCTCAGAAAACTTCTCCACAAATGACCGACTCTGGGTAGACTTGGTGAATGACTTCACCTGGTTTAATCCCATCGCTGTACCGTCCAGCAGTATACTGGCATCAACAAAATCAACCTCAAATTTCAGATTGTGTCAAACAACCTTGGCATGCTTAAAAAAGCTGTGGAATTCCTTACTTTCATCATGAGTCTTGACATGCATCACCAGAGGATCACCCGATAAATAAATATGTGCAAAATATACTCTAAAATTCCATCACAAAAAGCCTCCACATTAATCAAACCCCGACCTCCCGAATTCATTGGCAAATGAAACGATTTAGAGGGGAACGAGGATGGTGGGCTCTGTTATCAGACATGATCCTTCTGGTCAGGCGGTCAAGACTCTTGGCGGATATCTTGTTTTGTACAATCAACTACTCCAAAGGAATAGGAAATGACTGGCACAGCAAAAGTATTGGTGGCTTTGACCTTGTTTCGAGCATTTTATTGTTTCAATCCGTTTCCAATGTTTTGACCGTGTCTATGTATACAGAAAACATTCACTCCCGGTAATTATAAACCCTCTCCGGGTTGGACCCCTTTTCCCCACCGAATCAGGTAACAACTGCTAACATCACCACGATTCCTTGAATACACTGTTTGAAAAAGAATCGAATACTAAACTAAACAAAATAAAACACCAAAAATAAAAAAAGGTAACATAATATCTGAGCATTTTGTTTCGTTTAGAAAAAAAGCATTCTTGTCAAAGTTTAGCTGACCCGGTTCGAAACTTTCAGAGAAGATTTCTTCTCGCCAGTAAAGATTGACCATTAATAGGAACATCAATATGACTAACATGGCGCCCATAGAGAAAATCGAATTGGAACCTCTTGAACAAATTCAGGTGCCATCATTAGTTGGAAGTAGTATGTGAAGCTTCAGCTTCAGAGGCCCAGTGGTTTCCGAGGGAAAGACATTTTATGTGCCAAGGATGCATTTTGAAGCATGGTTTAAGTGCAAAAGCCAGAATGACAATTTTGCACAACTGTTAAGTAGAATTACAGGTTGTATTCATATGAACACACATACAAAGAAACATCTTGCAGTTCCTGTCAAGGCTGCGTGAAAGGACATGATGGGCTTCTTCGTTGCTTCTTTTACCGTCTTCGCCACCCGTTTGGCTTTGACTCCAAGATCCACATATAGTACCACCCTGAACATGGCCAGGGCCTCAGGGTAAAACATGCTTTTAAACATCTTTAGAATAGGCCCACATATAGCCTAAGGAACTTGCCTGACAAACCCGACCCTGTCCTTTTTGATAAAGACAATGAATACATGTTTATGTTATTGAATTTTCTGTCGCTTTTGACAGCAATGCGATTGACAAGACTCAGGAAAACGCATGATAAATATGTGGACCTCGCCTTAGAGATGATGTCTCGCTTGCATCTCAAGTATATGAGGAGTGTTTCCGGGTTGTCCACCGGGAGCACAGCCCTTCTGACACTCTCTGTAAAATGTTTGATGGGTTTGACTAAAAAGCCCTTCCTGGGAGAAGAAGAAAAGTATATCGTGTCTTTGAATGGCATTTGGAAGTAATACACCATGAACAGAATTATATCGATATCAGCTTCTTTATCAAGAGGAACACAACACTTCAGAGTATATACTTACTCCTTCATCAAATGAATGAATGCTGTGATGATAATGATGATTTGGCGTCCGTTTGTCCATCTTTGTTGTTCTTACCTATCACTGCTACTACCCGCTGCCTCTCTTTGCCATTTGCCCATTGCCTGTGATTTAAGCCCTGGCTTCCATTTGCCCTTTGTCAATCACCAATCATCGCCAGTCAACTTTTGGCTTCCCTTGTTAAGCCTACACCTCTGTTGTCGGGCCCGTTGTTGTCTTATCACCTTCACCCATGAAGGTCCGGGTTAGAATATTGACCTTCAGTAACTCATGCTTGTCGTAAGAGGCGACTAACGGGATCGGGTGGTCAGGCTCGCTGACTTGGTTGGCACATGTCTTCGCTTCCCAATTGCGCAGATCGATGCTCCTGTTGTTGATCACTGGATTGTCTGGTCCAGAATCGATTACTTACAGACCGCCGCCATATAGCTGGAATATTGCTGAGTGCGGCGTAAAACTAAACTCACTCTTATTACCTTTGTTGTTCTTACATGTACATATATATGCTCTCTACCTAAAAGCATTCAATCACCAGATGAAGGAGTAAGTATGTACTCCGAAACGTTGCGTTCTTCATAATAAAGAAGTTGACATCCCTAAAATGCTCTTCCTTAGAGTATCTCATGTTTTTACATTAAGTGCATTGGCGACTCACTGTCAGAGTCCCCAAGTGAAAAATGTAGACATGTTTTAGGTGATAAACAATCTGCATTGATTGTTATTTACATGTGAACCAGTGAGTTTATAATTTCATTATGAGGCTGCTGGCTGGGCGGAATGACACAAATGGATATGACTGATAACGGTAATGACAAACGGTTGTGACACCGAAAAAAACTACATACTGAAAATGGTTTTGTAGTTATCTACGCAAAGAGTGCTATTTTCTGGTGGTGATCTCAATTACAGCTGCGGTTCGTCTTTGAAGGACTTCCACTAAAGTGTTCAAAAACGTCCGAAAGCAAACTGTTCAGAACATCGCTCTCTGTTCCCCTTTACTTTCAAGCCAGAGAACTGACAATATCACTAGTACACCTAATTGTACAGGCCTACACAACATTAGTACGGTACTGATCTTGTTTTGACCTTGACAATGAACTTGACAATTCTCATTAGAGCGTCTTAAGATACAACAACGAGGAAGTCTTACGACAGTTACAGAAAACCGATTTCATACAATTACTTTTCCAAACACTGTGACCTTTTACAAACAACAATTCAAGGTTTTGTGCATAATTGTCTTCAGGGACCTAACTTATTTCGATATTACAAAAGAGAAACTACATTGTCCATAGACGAAACACCCTTTCCGCTTGAAAATCGTCAACGAACATTATCAACTACAAGTGAGTTATCCATTAAACCAGTTGTCGGAAATATATCCAACAGTTACTGCAGAGTACGGTATATTTCAGCTGTTTCACAACGACAGGTAAATAGATGTGTTCAATCCAGCAGTGCAAATGAATTATCTACGAACCGCTAAGGTGCGGTGACAGCTAGGGCAGGTTCATACAAGCACTACACAACCAAGGGGTCTGAGTCTAATTTCATGTTATACAACTTAAAACATAGTACAAGTAAACACAATATGGTGATTAGTTGTCACAGAAAGTTACTGTTGAGTAAGTTCACTATAACCTCGTAAGGTTGTATCACAGAGTGTTCAACATTCTATACGAAATGGAGATTGTTTTAAGTGTTCACAGAAATACTGCAATTTTAACTCCCAAGGGGGACCATTGAGGCCAAAGTAAGGACGGAGCCTTGAAGAAAGCAGTATCGTGTGCAGCTTTGTACTGACGTTATATATTATATTGCAGATGTAGACTGGCTCAGTGACTTGCACATTCAGTTATGTATGCTATCACTTCAATTAAAATACCCTATTCACATGCAAGCACGCTAGCGTAACTCATATTGTTATTTGGATGAGTAGCGGTTCACTTCACAGCGACATCTATGTTAGCTGGTGCCACCCATAGTGGTAAGACATGAGT